AAGAGGAGTGTGTAGCCAACTGTGTAGAAGAATAAGAGATTTTAAAGAGAAGAGAAAGAAAACCCGAGGGCCTGCAAGGTGATATGCCCCTGCCCGACCACCTGAGCTCAGTCCCTGAAACCCGCATAAAGGTGAAGGTGAAACCCACTTCACAGAGTTTCCCTCCGACCTCCACGCGTGCATAATGGTGCCTGTACACACACGCATGATAATACATTTTAAGAATTTAAAAAACGGGGCTGGAGAGATGGCTCAGTGGTTAAGAGCATTGCCTGTTCTTCCAAAGGTCCTGAGTTCAAATCCCAGCAACCACATGGTGGCTCACAACCATCTGTAATGAGGTCTGGTGCCCTCTTCTGGCCTGCAGACAGAATATTGTATACATAACAAAGAAAGAAAGAAAGAAAGAAAGAAAGAAAGAAGAAAGAAAGAAAGAATTTAAAAAACGAGCCTGGAAAACAAGGCGGCGGCAGCCATGGGTTCCTGTGACAGCTGAGGCACAGACTTGTGTGGTCATGTTAGCCTTGTCAGCGGTGTAGATCTGCGTCATCCACTGTCCCCCAGAATGCTGGCCTGCGTGCCTCATTCCAGCCATCTTCCAGCTGGCCACCAAGATTGCCATCCAGAAGATTCCCTCTCCAGAATCCTCTTTCCCACAGCACATTCTAACTCACCCACTGACAACAGTTAATACACACTTAAACTGGGAGGGTAGAGTGCTTCCCTCTGCTGCACAAGGCCCTGGGTTCAAGGTCCAGTATTGGGGGGGGGTGCACATAAGAACTTGTGGTAAGCAGCCGAGGAGAGAAAAATGAGTGAAAACAGGTCTCTTTCTCTATATGGTATTCATCTCCTAAAACAACAGAAAAATAGTTTCAGAGGGCAGGCTTTCTCTCTGTTTGGTTTCCTCTTGGCATCCTGACCCCGTGTCCCTTCCACCACCTGGTTCTCCGCAGGCCAGTCACTGTGGAGTGGCTGCAGTGGACTGTTGACTGACGGAGTTACTCTTCCTAGACTCTCAGGAAGCCCTCCGAGTGTAATCCGAATGTTTACAGGTGATCAAGGCCTGGCCTTTAACCCAGAAGATTATGTCCTAGGATGGTCTCCAATCTAAAACAATGCATTATGGGTCACAGCCTCTTCACAGTCTACTTTTAGGCCCTCCCCCTAGTCCCACTGTGCCATCTTTCAAGTCTCAGGGTTGGGGGTTCTATCAGTTTGAAGCCTAGTGCCTACTTCAGGTGGCTCACAAATGCCTGTGACTTTAGCTCTAAGGAGCTGACACCCATTCTGGCCTCTGTGAGTACCTGTGCAAGCATGTATATGCACATGCATATACATACTCAAAGTTTTTAAAAAGTCTTTTTAAAAAATAGTTTTAGGGTTGTTTGTCCAACCTACTTCCTAATGACAGCCTTCCTGGGAAATTCTATTTCCCCTAAGAAGTGAAGGCTTAAAGGGTATTGATCTTAAAAAGGACTGAGCCATAGAGATCCTGGAGAAAGCAAACGGGAAAGCTCTCACACCTCGCACTCATGATGCCGGCTTCACTCTGAGGGCACCTGAACAGGTGACCTTCGGGGATGGCCGCAGTGGGTATGGACACGTGCTGCTCCCAGTTGGCAGCTAGAGTCAGGGAGAAGGGAGAGCAACAGCTGGCAGAGCCTTCATTTTCTTATCTTCAAAAGAGGCCATTGTGATGGCGCAGTCGTTTGAACTGAAATGAAAAAATTTAAGAGCCTTTGGGTAGAAAATCATGGGGTGAATTTATCTGAAAGCCAACATTCTCTGAAGCAACACATGGAACATAATATTGTGACATACCGTAAAAGATTGAACATCCCTCCAGACCACCTCTTGTCCATACATCACTCTTTCAATCTGTTGGTTTTTATTTTCTTTTGCATGGGCTATGCTATTATCTTTGGTTGTTGTGATTAAAAGTATTTAAGGCATTCTTTTACATCTTGTATATATATTTATTTGAGTCATAATACTCAGCTTTCTGTATAAAAACAGTGTACTGGTCAGATGTATAAACACTTCTGAAGGTAAGCTGGAGTTGCAGAGTGCCGAGGAAAGGGACATGGACTCCCTCTCCAGTCGTGCTTTCAACACTTCCGGAGAGTTGCCTTGGGGACAGCCTGTGAGCCGAGAATGCTCTGAATTAACCTCTCTCAAAAAAAAAAAAAAAAAAAAAATTAGTTGGTGGTGGTGCATGCCCTTAAATTCCAGCATTCGGGAGGCAGAGGCAGGCGGATCTCTGTGAATTTCGAGGCCAGCCTGGTCTACAAGAGCTAGTTCCAGGACAGGTTCCAAAGCTACAGAGAAACCCTGTCCTGAAAAACAAAACAAAAAAAAAAAAAAAAAAAAAAGTTCTCATGAGTACAGACATTGAGTTTCAGCTGCAGATGTGTTCAGGGTTCGTGTTTCTTTTCACTGAGTGCCAAGGCCAGTCTTTGAGTTGGCGTGTGTTGTCTGAACTCTTCTAACACAGCTGATGTGTGTGTGCTTTCTTCCGTTTAGCAGGAAAGAAGGATTCTGTCTGGACCAGTGCTAGGCTAGTAGCTTCCACCCACGGGAGTGAACTCAGGACTGTTGCTGTAGCCAATCTTAGAAAATACCCTCCAGCAGGCCACTCCGTGACAGGCCCTGGGGGAGGAGCTTAGTCAGTTCTGATTGTGTTTAACTTAAAGGAAATTTATTTCTTGTGCTGGGCATGGCTTGGTGGTGTTGCCATTGGAACAGATTTCACCAGGGGAAGAACTGACAATACTGCTTGCTTGTTCCTGCACAGCCAAGGGTTGCCAAGTGCACCAGCTCCTCAGCTTGCTCAGGATTTTCTGTATGTGAAATTAGCTTACAGCATCTCATCCTTTCTTGATACTGTGTTAGTTGCCTTTTAATTGCTGTGATAAAGTATCATAACCGAGCACTTGGAGAAAGAAGGGTTAATTTGGTGCTGTGGTTCCAAAGGGATGGTGGCAGAGGAAGCACGGAAGCAAGTAGCGGTCATGGCGGCAGAAGCAGAGAGAACAAACTGGAACAAGACTAGCCTACCCCCTAGTGATGTGCTTTTTCCAAGAAGAACACAACTTCTAAACCTCCAAGTGGTGCTACTAACTGGGGATCAAATGTCCAAATATCAGAGCCGATGAGGGACATTCTCATTTAAACTATTAAATTCCACTCCTGGCCCTTATAGGCTTGTTGCCATATGGTGATACAAAATGTATTTAGTCCAACTTCAAAAGTTCTTGTAGTCTTTCATAAAGCCCAAAGACTCTTCAGAGACTGTAGGCAATCTCTTAATTGTAGCCCCCTGTAAAACCAAGACAAGGTACATATTTCTAATATATAATGGCACAGAAGAGATACTACCATTCCAGGAGAAAGGAACAGTTAAAAATACTGAACCAAAACGAGACTGAAACCATCAGAGCAAATGCTAAATCCTCTAACTCTTATGTCCGTGTTTGGGGTTTTCATTTCAAAGGATTTGGATGGCTTTGCCTCTATGGCTTTGCTGCCTGTGATGTATGTCTCTTCCTTAGGCTGATTCTTCCCCCTGTGTGCTGATCTGGGTGGGTCTTGACTGAGGGCATCCTTCTCGTTGTCTCTGTGCAGAGCAGGGGCTCTCCTTACCTGCTACAGTCCCCCACCCCCACCCCCACCCCCGTAGCACGAGTCTCAACTACAGCATGACGGCAGTAGCCCAGTTCTGGCACCAACTTCTGTTTTAGTTACTTTCTGTTGTTGTGATGAAATGCCATGACCTAGGGAGCTAGAAGAAAGTTTATGTGGGTTTACAGCTCCAGAGGGAGGGGAGTCCGCCATAGCAGGGAAGCGTGGTGGCAGGAGCAGGAGACTGAGTACACATCTGCAGAGGCAGGCCTGCTGCAGAGGGCAAACTGGAAGGTAGGAAGACTTTGATTCTCAAGGTCTATAGCCAGTGACACCGTTCCTCCAGTAAGGCCACACCTGACAAACTGTGGACCATTTATTCAAATACCAGAGCTTCTGGGAGACAGTCTCATTTAAGCTCCTACAAATGCTGTAGTGTTTAAAAGCAAGCAGTGTTTAAACTGTCCTTAGTCGATTGTCCCACCATGCTTTGCTCTCACTGTTGTCTGCCCATCCTGTGCTTCGTGGTCTCTCTAACTCTCAGTGAGGAGGGGTGTGACCCTCTGGTCAGCCTCTTCTCACACATCTAAAGAGCATTTACCGACAAACTACAGGACACCAAAAGGCTTTCTCTTTTTCTTTTTTCAAACCATTTCTGTTTCATGTTTTATTATTAGTGTCTCGGAGGATAGCAGTTGACATCACTTTCCCATGAAGGACAAGTATTGTTTCTAGAAGTGTTTTTACCTGCTCATCCAGGAAGGTGGCTCTTTAAGATTTGCTTTAAAAAAGAATTTCATATTCCCAGCAAGCTCCTGGGTTAGACCAGTGGGAAGTGGAGCTCCAGAAGCCTTGTGAGGGTAGATCCAACTCTGACTCCCAAGCTGGTGTCTTATGTTTTTTGAGGGAGAGTCTTAATTATTTCTCTGTATTGGATTCTGGGGTGCATAGCCAGTCTTGTAAAGTCTCTCTGTAATCCGAGCTTATTTCCATGTGCCTGTTCCTCTAAGAGTTTGTACATTTGAGACCAGTAACAACCAAACTACCTTTTTCATCTCTAGGATGAGAACGTTACTTTTCCACCGCCATCACCTGTGCGTTCCGTCACCAGTGTCACTCCTGAGTTCTCCCATTCTTGTGCTCTTGTCGTCCTCACTGGCTCCCGGTGCTGTGGGATGTGTCTGGGGCAGCTCTGACTGGAAGGTGGACAGTGGCCGTGCCCTGACAGTAGCTGTCCCCTTCCCGTCTCAACTAACCAAAGACCCCAAGTACAATTAGTCTCTCTCTAAATTACTAAATCATTTAGGCCTGTGTCTTGGTTTTATGCACACCTCAGTTTTTCAAAAGCTGCTTTTTTGTTTCCTTTTAAATCATAGCATGCTGGACTATGATACAGAAAACCTGAACTCTGAAGAAATCTACAGCTCTTTGCGTGGAGTTACAGAAGCCATCGAAAAGTTCAGCTTCCGAAGCCAAGAGGACCTAAACGAGCCGATTAAGCGAGATGGCAAGAAGGACTGTGATATCGTGAGTATCCTGGGCCAGCGGACAACTATGTCAGCAGACTTGAGTCTCTCCCACACTGAACTCCCTGGTGACAGCGTCTTCTACTCTGGTGTTAAAATAATAGTACTTTTAGGGGCGAACATAACCCCAGTGTGGATCAGCAGGTGCAGGGGTGAAGATGTGACAGGCAGCCTTCCAAAGGGCAGAAGTCTGACCCATGCTAGACCCTAGAAGAACTTTAAGTGCATAATGCCAGTTGAAACAAGCCAGCTGCAGAGGGGCTAGTATGCTTTTATTTCCTTTGCCTGAGATGCCTGGCATAGGCAGATTAGTAGAAAATAGAATCAAGGTTTGTGGGGGCAGGGGGAGTGTTATTTATTGTGTGTGGGTTTGGGGGGAGAAGGGATAATGTGAAAGACTGGAGTATACATGATGTTGTTGGTTACACAAAATAGCGAATGTATATAATGTCACTGAACCATATGATTATGGATGGTTGAAATGATAGGGTATGTGTATTTACCACAACTTTTAAAACCATATAAACATAGAGTAAGAGTTGTATCTTGTTAGCAGCACAAAACATCATCAGTATGTTCCAGATTCCTGGGACTCATGTCCAGGTGAGGAAACAGGCCGCCCACTGCCAGTACCTGGCCCAGATTTGTCCCCGTAGTGCTGTCCTGTAGGGGCTGCCCAGGCTAATATGGCCAAGGTGAAGGTCTAGTACTGGGTTTGGTTGCATTTCTATTGCTCTGATAGGACACCATGAGCAGAAGTAGCTCGAGGAGGAAAAGGTTTGTTTCTGCTCGCAGTTCATGTCACAGTCCGTCCCAAGGGAAGTCAAGGAAGCCAGCTGATGCAGGGCCATGGCGGAGTGCTGCTTACTGACTTACTTCTCATGGCTGGCTCTGCCTTCTTATAATACTCAGGGCCACCAGCCCAGAGGTGGCACCACCTGCGATTGGCTGGGCACTCCCATATTAATTAAGAAAATTTACCGCAGGCCAGTCTTCTAGGGGTACTTTTGTTTTCAGTTGAGGTTCCCTCTTCCCAAATGACTCTAGATTGTGTCAAGTTGACATAAAACTAGCCAGCAGTGCAAAACTATCAAAACCTGCCCGAGACCATTGAAAGACCACTGTGAAGACAGACGTAGGAGAAAAAAGTTCAGTACTAGGTATCCAAAGAGTGGAGAGTGGTTGTGGCCTGGGAGACACTTACTATGTCTCTCAAGGTTAGAGGTAATTTTAGGATAATCTGGCTAAACCTCATTATTATCTCAAAAAAAAAAAAATCAAGAGGCTGATTTGTGGATATTTAGACTGCTTTAGGCTCTGAGCAGTACTTTAAGGTGTCATTGAGAAGTCCTTGCTATTGGCATTAGAGCCAGAGGCCACAGTGGTCTGAAGCAGGCTTCTCAAGCATGGGGACAATGAAGGACATATTCCTCCATTTCCAAGAAGCGCTTGAGACTGCATGGTAGTGATCCTTCAGAAACCTTGTGAGTACAGTGAATCACCAAATAACAAAGAAAAATAGGCTAAATATATACTCAGATGTAGGAACGTTCTATTCAGATGGAAAACCAATAGCCCGGAGCTGGACAGATGGCTCCATGCTTAAGAGCACTTGCTGTGCTCCCAGAGTTCAGTTCCTAACACCTATATCAGGCAGCTCACAACTACTTGTAACTTCAAGAAGAGCACCCTGATGAGGCTTCTATGGGTACAGACAGACAGACACACATATACACTTTTTTTTAGTAAAATTAAATCTCAATAGCTGTTGTTGGGTCAGTGGCCAGCTTGCAAATGGAAACCCCTGACCCCTCTAAAAAAATTCCTAAGCATTAAAGAAAAAGTGTGGCCAAGTGTGGTAGCACATGCCTTTAATCCTAGCACTGGGAAGACAGCCTGCTATGTGGGTTTCTGAGTTCAAGGCCAGACTGGTCTATGTAGTGAACTCCGGACTAGCCAGAACTACATAGTGAGACCCTGTGACAAAAAGAGGCAAAGGGAGGGAAAGAAGAGAGAGAGAGAAAGAGGAGGGGAAGGAAGGAGGGATGGAAGACAGACAAATGAGCAGGTGTGTCAGGAGGTCCCTGAGTGACTGTGCTGTGTTCCAGGTGTCCCGAGATGGGGGAGCAGCCTCACCTGCCACCGAGGGCCGGGGAGGTGGTGAGATGGAAGGAGGAAGGATGGCTTTGGACAACAAGACCTCCCTGCTCAACACGCAGCCTCCACGTGCCTTCCCGGGGCCGCGAGCACGGGAGTATAACCCATATCCCTACTCGGACACCATCAACACCTACGACAAGACAGCGCTGAAGGAGGCGGTGTTTGATGACGACATGGAGCAGCTCCGAGACGGTCTGTCTGCCTGCCCACCTCTTTATGTCCCCTACACCTTCCCTCAGTCACCCTGCCTGTGGTCCATGGACACAAACAGAAACATGGGGTCTCCTGGTCCATCATTTGCTCAGACCTGCCTATTGAGTCCCTGCTATGTGCTTAGTCCTGAGAAGCCCCCTGTGAGTAGAAGCCTATTTGTTTTTACCCTCTGAGAGCCTGCAGTCTGTCCATGAAGTCTCTGCTACTGGGGCTTCCTGGAATGCTCCCTGAGGGGAGTGGTTGACCAGGACGTGCAGCAGGGCTCAGGCACTAATAGTTGCTTCTGTGAAGACCTTGGCCCACACTGCCCCAGCTCTCTTAGCCGTGAAGGTGAGGTCCCAAAGCCATGCCCTCTTAAGCAGTGTGGCACCCGGGGTCTTCTCTGGCTGTGCCCTGCTGTGCCAGAGGAAGGAGGCAGGGCATCTGATGGTAGCTACTTGCCTATCTCATGCTTGGGGCTTTGCTGAGACCCATATGCCCATTAGCTCCTAAAATTAGAGTTAGCAAAAAGATTCAGAAAGATTAAGATACTTGCCCCAAAGAATAACTTAGGGATGTGTCTGGGGATTTCTTCTGAGTCACGTCAAGACCAGTATCCAGAGCCTGTGAATATGGCTCAGGGATTGAGTTGTGCTTAGCACATGTGACGCCCTGGATATAATCTGCACGGCCAAAGCAAAATCCAAGCCCAGTGTCCACTAGCAGGTGGCCAGTGAGTGACTCTGCATGGGTTTGACGGTGTTTGGAACAGCAGCTTAAGTTTTTCTTTTCCCGCCTCACTGCTTACATCGACCTGCTTTGTTCTCTTGCAATTTCGTGTGACTTTGCAGCTTATAGTAGATCTGTTTTGTTTAAATAGAGTGGAGAATTGTGTAAATTATAATTAAATAATTAATGACTGCTTGAGTACTTTCTGTAATCATGGAATAATCAGCTTGTTCTGCTGGAAGGAAAGGAAGGCACACTTCCTGGCATGAATGCTCCAGCCTGTGGGTTACAGACTCAGAATGAGCACACTTCGGAGGGGGCTGCCACATGAGGCAGGGGGCTTATGCATGAGGCAGGGGCAGGTTCAAGGCATAGAAAGCAGAAGGGCCTGGCGCTGTGCAGTGCTGTGGCAGAAGACAGTTCTGCAGGTGTTCAGCACAGAGGGGGCATCAGTGGTCAGAAAAGAGCCCTGGAACTGTCGTTCCCCTGGATTTGCCGAGTGCCAGTCGTGCCCCCAGTCTGGAGTGGCCGGTGTTTGCTGTGACCCAGGCTTTCTGGAGAAGTGGGTGATTTTTCCCTTGCATGTGGGGTTGTTTCACCACTTCCCCTTTATTTCTCGTGCCCAGAGAAAGAAGTGTCAGTTCTTTCTTATCCACTGCCTGTGTACTGAAAGCTTATGGAGAAAGGAGGGATGGCAAGGGGAAATGGCAAGTGTGCAGGGTCTTGAACTTCCTGTGTGCTCACCCCCTGATCTCAGAAGCTAAAGAAGTTTGTAAATGTGCCTCAGGAGAGTGCTGGTCATGGCTTGTCTCCACAGCTGGTTCCCATGCTCCCTGTTGAGAGCGGAGTTTTCAGGGTTGAGGGTTCTCAGTGAGCATGGGCAGGGCGAGAGGGACCTTCAGGCCATCTGATGTAGTTCAGACCCTGCTGGTACCCATGCGAGTAGAGGTGAGCAAGCTTTCCAGTTTTTGGATGGCATCCATACCAGTCACTTTGATTGGCATCAGTACTGTGTTGGTTCCCAAGCCCTGCACATCCAAGAATGGACCAGATATTAGTCAGTATGATAGTCTTGAGGGGATGTTTACGGTTGGAATGGAACAGATGTTAGTCAGTAAGACGATGGGAGTGCCTTGGGGAAATCCAATTTGTGCACAGAGTGGTTCTCCTACCAGCAGGAGGCTGTCCAGTAGAAAGCCTGGCTCAAGACTGTGGAAGTAGAAGAGAGTTTGGGAAAAAATGGGGCTTAAGTACTTGGATGTTTTTTAACCTCTGTGTAAAAATAGAAAGGGGAGGATGGTAAGAAGGGAGGACACACGGCACACTGGCGTTGTGCAGCTGGCCTGGCACTCTGTTCTCACAGCATGGTAAGAACGTCAGGAGTACACAGGGGAGGCTGGCAGCCAGGCAGGGCAGAGGAGGAGGGGAACTCATAGCACCCATCACTCAAAGAGTCGTGGTAGGAAAGGAACATGGCAGGAACCTATGGCCCTCGCCTCCTGAGGTTGCATGTGTGTCTCCCCAGTGCCCATTGACCACTCGGACCTGGTGGCTGACTTGCTGAAAGAGCTATCCAACCACAACGAGCGTGTGGAGGAGCGGAAGGGTGCGCTGCTGGAGTTGCTCAAGATCACCAGGGAGGACAGCCTGGGCGTGTGGGAGGAGCACTTCAAGACCATCCTGCTGCTGCTGCTGGAAACTCTAGGGGACAAGGACGTAAGCACTCTCACGGCCCTTCTGCATGATGCCTTTCCTGAGCAGGGCTGAGAGCTCTCCTTTGTGGCGTCTGCGCCTGACTTATGTGCAGACCCCGGTCTCCCTGTCACTGTGTGTACCCTTCCTGAGCCTAGATACTTTACACAGGAGTTGCCCAAACCCATTAGTGTAGACAATAGCCTGCCAGGCTTCATCTCCGCATGAGTTTCACTTTTATCTCATGTGAAATAAGGTAATAGAAAAGTTTATTTCCACATTTTTTAACTAATTTGCCAGGTGATGGTGGTGCACACCTTTAATCCCAGCACTTGGGAGGCAGAGGCAGGTGGATCTCTGTGAGTTTGAGGCCAGCCTGGTCTATAGAGAGTTCCAGGACACTAAGGGCTACACAGAGAAACTCTCTCAGAAAACAAAACAAAAACAAAAAACAAAATAAAAAAACTAATTCATGTGGTCACACAGTACATGTGTGGAGGTCAGAGGACAACTTTCAGGGGTCACTTTTTTCCTGCCTCCATGTGAGTTTTTGGGATTAAACTCAGGTCATTGAGCCCTCTTGCCTATCCAGAGTTTATTTTTTTTAAAGGCCTTATTAAGTGTTGCATTTCATGAAATTCCATCTTGATTCATCCTGTGCCTGTGTTAGAGCTAATGTTTGCTAGCATGGCAGACAACAGGTTCCCATGGTGTATTCGTGGTTATAAAACAAAACCTTCATGCTGGGACATTTGAATGTGACAGACCAGGCTTTGTAGCATGCATGGGCTGTGACTACCCCTGATATGCTTAGTTGCTAATATCAGTGGAGGTGAGTACAGTTGGGGGAGGTGATCCAGTCCCAGTCTTGCCTCCAACCTGTGGAGCAGGCCCGCAACACAGAATTGGGAGGGAACAGCTGGGATTAAGCTTCCTAAGTAATGGTCCATCTTTCCACATTGGTTTTGCATGGCCTAGCAGACACAGCTGAGAGGAGTTCCAAGAAGCTAGCACAGTGTGAGGTCACAGGCCAGACCCAGGGTCACAGAGGTGGTGACTGAAGGCAGCAGCAGGGAGTGGGGGAAGGAGAAGCAGTAAATGCTGCCCTAGAATTGTTTTCTGACTCTCGGGGTCAAAGTCTGGTTTAGGGGTAAGTAAAGATTAGGAATGTTAACAAAAGGCCCACATTAACTTTTCTTCAAAGTCCTGTGCCTATGGAGGCAGTTACACTTGGCTGAGCTCCGCGGGGAGATGGGGTGATGTCACACGGAGGGCAGGTGCTTTCTGTGTGCGTTTGCACAGTGCACAGTTGAGTGACAAGGAATCAGGATGTGCTTCTTGGCTCTGTTTGCAGTAAACTCCGCTCTCTCTTCTTGAGATTAGGCGTCTGTTTGGAATGGCTTTTCTCCAGACACATGACTTGGGCTTTAACAGCTTGAGGCCTATTGCATGGGTGACCTCATCACCCAGAAGGTCAGGAACAGACGCAGGTCTCCAGCAGACCTCAGAGAGTTCACAGCCTGGCAGGCCTCTGTCCATGACAGGGTCCCTGTGTGTGTCTCACAGAAAGGTGACTCAGGAACCCAAGCTTCCTTTAAGTCTAGAACATGTAGAGAACTGACCTTGAACTTAGGTCTGCAGTACAGAGTTCATTCTAGAAGCCTTTGCCAACCTCTCCATGTGGTGGGTCCTGAAGATGACACCGTGCATCAGTGCCTGCCCTCTTGAGGTTGACTGTCTAGGAAACATGTGTTGAGTAGACTTGTTATCCATGGAGAGGGGCCCAAAAGAGGCCAGGCCACCTGGAACAGGTTTAGCCTGTGGGCCCATGCACTCTGTAGGCATGAACAAGGGCATGTACTGTTCGGTGACATTTCTTTTCCGCTCACACCTAGCATTCCATTCGAGCTCTGGCACTGAGAGTTTTACGGGAGATTCTGAGAAACCAACCAGCAAGATTCAAAAACTACGCAGAACTGACGATCATGAAGACCCTGGAAGCCCACAAAGACTCCCACAAAGAGGTTGGTTTAGCCCTGTGACCATGCACAACAGAACTGGGTGGAGGAGGGCAGAACCCAAAATGAATGTTGAAGCTTATGAGTCTTTCCCTTGTGAACTGGCCTGGGTTGTACTGAGTAAGATTCCTACTGCTGACATCAGAGCTAAGGAACTGCATGTCTAAAATGCTTACAAAGTGCATCTGTGGTTCCCAGGTCCCAGCATCTCCATTGTCCTCAAGCGAGCAGGCAGGCTATATCTCTGTGCCTCGTACATGTGGTATAGATGATGGGCTCTCAGCAGTCACTGGCCAGTTACTTGGTGGTGTGTTGAGCCCCTGTGATTTGTACTCTGTGGATAGGCTAGAGACCTCCAGAGTCTAGTCCAGGGCTGGGTACATGGCCTAATGACTTGGGAAAGTGTCTGTTATACAAGGATGAGTACCTAGGCCATCTCCAGAATCCACATTAAAAGCAGATAACCCAGTACCGGGTAGAAGGAGACAGGTATATCCATGGCATTGCTAGCCTACTCAGAAAGCTGGAGCAAACGAGACCCTGTCTTGGGAAAGAGGGAGGAGGGGAGAAAAGATGGACAGCTCATGAGGATTGACAACGGAGATGGCCCTCTGGCCTGTGTGCACTCTCACACAAGCAACAACCTCCATCAACACACACGTGGAAACCAGAATGGCAGACTTAGAACTGGAGCAAACTCAAGATGACAAAGAGTAGGTATGAGCCCACCAAGCCATGACTGCTTTTCCAGTGCAGCCTCTTGGTTCTGCATAACTATTGTGAGAATGCTCTGGATGAGGACTTAAGTAGGGCAGTTCTTATACCAGCAAGGGAATGAGACCCTGAGGGTAGTTTTCCTCCTGGCCATGGATTGACTGCTTGGGCCGTTGCTGCTTTGACCTCCTCAGATCGTCATCTGGAGGAGGGGTCTCTGTCTCTCTCTGCATATAGGCTCTAGGAACATTTCCAACAAGGGACTGAGTCTCTAAAACCTGGCTCGGTGGCATGATGGTGACACTCATGTTTGAACAGAAGGTGCTTCGCTTACAACAGCTCACTTGAGCGTGTAAAGCAGACAGGCTCATATGGTCAACTTCATTGTTCCCAGATGAAGAAGAAAGGGCCCAAAAAGTCTGCCCAGTAGTTCAGAGCAGAACAAGTAAGGACCAGGCCTTGGCTCTCTTAGGAGGGACAAATTATCTTGCAACAACTTTGTTTTTTAAATAGCTTGTCCTTAAAATCAATGATAAAAAATTGAAGTGAACTAGGATTCAGGTGTGTCCAACCAGCAGTTTGGATTCCAGACTAGCTATAAATGCAGTGTAATTCACACAAAATTGTAAGCTTACTTAAAAGACTGGAAGAGGCACACACGCGTGTGTGCATGCGTGCGTGTGTGTGTGTATGTGTGTTTGATGTTTTTCTTTAGTTATACTATGTTCTGTGTATACACGTGTGTATGATGCACATATTGGAAACCAGTTCCTTTCCTGCTCTCATGTAGAATCCAGTGGTTCAAACTCAGACCATCAAGCTTCAGCAAGCACCTCTACCTGCTGGACCTCACTCTTCTTTAAAACGCAACTGTGCCATTCTCAAGCATGTGCTTTGTAGATAGCAGTGTTAAATATGGCAATGTCAAAAAGTTTGGCTATTTGGTGACAAAGGACAGGCTTGAAATGAGATTAAAGTGAACTTAAAGGGGCTGGAAAGATGGCTCTGTGGTTAAGAGACTTGGCTGCTCTTCCATATGACACAGGTTAGACTCGTAGCATCTATATGACAGCTCTCAACCAAATCTGCAGTTTCTGTGCCATGGGATCTGTGACCCTCTTCTGGCCTGTGGGGCCCTAGGCATGGCGTGGTACACATGCATATGTGCAGGCAAAATACCATACACGTATTTATTTATTATTGAACATTTAATTAACTAAGTTAATGTGATATTTGAGTACTTATTATCCAGCTAGAAGCTATCTCTTTAAACTGAGCATCCAGTTTAAATATTGAAAACCTTTACAGTGGACTCTTAAATATAAATTAAAAATTCACTATTTTCTTTTCCTTGAACATGGTTTAGTAAGTATGAGGTTCTCTTAAATTGCCCAGGAAAAGCGTGAAAAGATCTCCTGTTTCAGATACATTTCCCAGTATTCTGTCGGCATGGGCGTCCTGTCACCAGAAGGTGCCACACTGCCATCACAGTGACCTGAGGGTGCCAGCGGGACATAGTGTTCTGAGGTCTGTTGGCAGGCTCTCTCTGCTTTGCATGTCTGGGCTCACCTTGACTCTATGTCCTTGCCACTTCCTCCTGCAGCTCAGACTGCCACATGCCCAGGAGCGGCTCGGGAGCACCTGTATGTTTAGGTTTGGGGTTTGGTTTTTATTTTTCTTGAAAATTCTTCAACTCTCTCTCTCTTCCCCTCTCTCCCTCTCTCTGACACTTACGTATGTGCACATATAAATGTGTAGGCAAATCAGCCTTAGATGTCCTCAAGTACACCTTTAATTTTGAGGCAGAATCTCTCACTGGCCTGGAACTTGACCGGTAGTCTATGCTGACTGACAAGATGCCTGCCAGCATCTCCCTAGTCCTGTGACTGAAAGTGCCACTGCACCTGGTTTTTATTATTGTTGTTGTTGTTATTATTATTTTTATTTTATTTTATTTTCAATAAGTGTGTATGGGTGTGAGTGTGCTCATGCCTCTGGGTACATGCAGGTGGAGGTCTAGGACAGTTTCAGAGGTCACTTCTCTCCTTTCACTCTGGGCTCCAGGCATCAAATCCAGGTCATTGAGGTTGTACAGCAAGTGCTTTTACTTGTTGGAGCCATCTTGCCAGCCTGGCTTTTATGTGGGTTCTGGAGATTGAAGCTAAGTCCTGCGCGAGGTGTTACCAACTGAGTGCCCTACACCCCTCCCCCTCCCCCCCGCCAGACACACACTTGTTTTAACCAACTTGTCTCCATCCCTGGTCTCTGGTTCTCAGCATTCTTCGAGATAGTTAGCTGAACATGCAGTTGCTGTGGTGGCCATGCTGGTGGCTTCATTTTTGTCTATTGTATTGTCTTACATTTAGTACTTAGGACTCCAGCCATGCTTAGATGGGATCAATGGTGCTTTTAGGTTTCTGTGTCCATCATCCAAAGGCAGAGTCTGTTTTCCTGTCTGATCAACACTTCCAAAGTGTGCGCATCCCAGGGGGCCTCTCTTAGAACTACTCTCTCCTAAAATGGAAGTGATTTTACCTTCCCCAACAAAGCCCGGCCTTAGGAGGAGATGAACACGCATCCTGGCTGGCTCACACAGAACTGCTCCAAGAGATGGAACACCAGCCATCTTCCCTGTCACCTGTGGATGTAAGGCAGAGACCAGAGAATCTCTGTAAGCTCACAAGCCAGTTAGGCTAGCTCACAAACAGCAAGCTTAAGAGAAACCCTGGTGGGAACAAGGTAGGAGGTGGGCATGATGCCTGGAAGTTGTCCTCAAGCTCCCTGTGATCACTGTGACACACACACACACACACACACACACACACACACACACACACACAAGTGGGGGATGGACACAGAGAGAGGCAGAGCAACACACGCACAGTGCTTATGTATTAGTGTTTAAGGTGGGGATGCTGGAGAGATGGCTCAGCAGTCAAGAATACTTGCTGCTCTCGCTGTAGAGGACTGAGTTTCTTTCTCAGCATCCATACCACCATCAGTAGCTCCAGTTCCCGGGGACCCGATGGCTTCTTCTGCTGAGGATACTGCATACATATGGTGCACATATATACCTGCAGGCAAAATGTTCATACACATACTTTCTTTAAGAGTTAAGAAAAGGCTGCTATTCAACATTGGAAAGGTAGGACTGGCAGCAAGATGGCTGGTTTCCTTATCCATGAGCTGAAGTCAGCTGTCGTAGGTTCCTAGAAGAGCTGTGATAGCCGAACATGGTTCTGACACACACACTGAAAATGCATGTAGTAACTTCTCTGAAAGCCACCATCCACAGCGAATGACAAACTACAGAGACCAGACACAGGTGGGTTCAGAGCCCAGCTTACAGCTGTATTTTAAAGGCTGGTGTTGGTCATCTTAGACATAGTTCTTTCATAGTCCTATCTGAGTAAGGCATTCTCTGCCAGGATCTCGGCTGTCTGTGTAGTAGATACTGCTGAGTTTTTGTCCCTGTCACATTCGTGGAGTTCCTGAGTGCTGTGTTGGCGGCCGAGCCTGATGCAGCGGGCTCTGTGCTAATTTCACTCCTGTGAGCACTCTTCTCCCTTTACATCTGTAATCTGACAGGGAGCTGACTGCGAATCTCTTCTTCGTCAGTCAGTGAGGGTTTGATAAGAGAACGAACAGCCAGGCATGCTTCTGAGGCCTGCGTCTCAGTAGAACCTGCTGCACCCTGCTCCAAGGATAGGTAGGACCTATTCCTTCCTATACAACCTGCATATACAGGACCATATGAAGTCAGAGCAGTCTGTCTGTCTGAATGTTTTATTTTGTTTTGAGCACCTTCTGTTCAAACATGAGTGTCACCATCATGCCACCGAGCCAGGTTTTAGAGACTCAGTCCCTTGTTGGAAATGTTCCTAGAGCCTATATGCAGAGAGAGACAGAGACCCCTCCTCCAGATGAAGAAAAACAAAATCAGACCAAAGTCACTTGAAAATAGAAGGTAAAAAAAAAAAAAAGCTCCTCAGCTGCCTGGCCTTCCCCAGAAGTAGGGTGCACTTGATCAGTCCTTTGAACAGATAGCTGTGGCCAGAGGAAGCTTGTTCTGAGGGGGGTCCTCCTTGAGGTACCTATTAAAATTCCCAACCAGCCCCATCTCCATGGCCATCTGCAACCTCCAGGGTAGCAGAGCCTAGAAGTCACTACCCCTCTGTGGACCTTGCTTTGTCTTAGCTGGTAGCCCCAGGCCCAATCAGAGGGTTATCGCTGTCTCTTCCAGTTCCAGGATATCAAAACATCAATAACAGCATCGGCTGTTGAGTAACAAA